AACGTCCAGGTGCCGACCCTCATGTCCACCCTCGTCTACCTCAACCGGCTCCGGTCCCGGCTCCAACCCATGGCCAAGGGACTCCGCTGCACCACTCACCGCATCTTCCTTGCTGCTCTCATCCTCGCGGCCAAGTACCTCAACGACAGCTCCCCCAAGAACAAGCACTGGGCTAGCTACAGCTACATCACCACCCAGGTGTACAACTTTGGCTTTTCGAGAACCGAGGTCAACCTGATGGAGAAGCAGCTCTTGTTTTTGCTCGATTGGGATTTGAGGATCACCGAGGAGGATTTGTACAGGGAATTAGACCACTTCCTTGCGCCGATCAAGTATGACATTGAGGCCCGCCACGCGAGGGAGGTGCGCCACGCTGCGAAGAGGGAGATGGAGAGGCAGAGGAGGATGGAGATTGAAGAAGAGGAAGAGGAGTGGATCCGGGTTGCGAGGGAGACGTCGATTGCCGTTTCTGCCGAGCAGGTTTATGCTGCTACTCCTTCTTCGAGCAGGGGGAGTTCGAGGTCGAGGGGGTATTCGAGGGAGCCGTCGCCTCCGGGGTTGTACTCGTCGGGCTCGTCGTATGCTGGTAGTATGAGCTCTTCGAGGGCGACTACGCCCGAGGGTGATGATGATGAGGAGGAGCATGATTTGGGTGTGCCGAGGGGAGGGGAGCCGTATATTTACTCGGGACAGCAGGATGGGTTGTATGGTTCCGAGGTGGAGGTTTTGCCCTGCGTGCCGGAGAAGGATGCGATGTATACTGTTCACTCGCACCAGCAGTATACACGCAAGGTCGCTGCCAAGAAGCTGTTGCCGTATGAGGTTCCGAGCTCGGGTCATCATGTGGTTGGGGAGGGGAGGGTGAAGAAGGGGGGGATGAAGCAGATGTTTGGGAGGATGTTTAATGGGGTTAGTGTGCGATGAGCACTTTACTTCCCTCGCCAACACAACACAATCATGACCGCGATGACTTTTTCATTTTTTTTTCTCTACTTAATATCAGCATTAAAAGGCGGAGTTTTTCCTTTTCTTTTTTTTTCGCTTTGGGAGAAAAGAACGCGAGGGTGTTTATTTTGGGTGGCAGGCATGAATGGGAAAGCAAGCAAGCACATTGGCGTTCACAACTTGGGAACGGGGCGGGCGGGAATTATATCTTTGCATTGGTACAGGAGGGGGTTTTCTTTTTTTTTTTGTTGTTGTGTCTCATCGGAAACTACATATACAGCCTGGCCTTTTTTTCTCTCTCGCATTTGCAGCATAAAGAGGGCAAATAGGTACTAAGGGGCGGTGGGGGAGGGATTAATACCGAGAACTACATCACAACAAAAGATAATTTTTGTCCATGTCTGCTGAATTGGTACATACAAAGAAGAGAATAATGGCAAAGAGATAATTCACACACACTTGCTTGTTTTCGGGTTTGGGAGGAGTGAAAGTGAGGGGATGGATGGATCACTTGGGGAAGGGCGGTCACCCTCCCTCGCAATTGTGCATAAACTCCCACACTCCAACTCCGCTTCGTCTATTGGGCATCAGGTTGGAGGTCTCCAGACCTATCATGCTGACCGCCGGGCCAGACAGTCGGGAAATCAGGTGGTTGGGTTGGTTGGGGGTCATTCATCTTGAAGCTTTCTGCCCTTGAGCTGTGCTAACGAATGCAGGGATGGATGGCGGTGGGTGGATGATTGATTGGGTTGTTTACTTATCCGGTCAGTAGGTAAGTTAGAGATGCCACGTCAGAATATCGCTGGTGTTGTTGTTGTTAATGTTGTTACCCCGCACACCACACGACACGACACCGCGACCGCAAAGTTCAGATCCCTACCATGCCAAAGATGCATTTGTCGTCATTGTTGCGGGTAACGACCCGTTTGCCCGAACCATTTGTTATTGATCGTTTGCGCATCCGAAAAAGTCAATTGTGTGATGAGCCGGCCTGTCTGCCTGGGCCCCCAAGACCAACATGCTGACCACGACAACACAAACTCCGGCATTTACACTTTTTCGGTCCGGGGCTGCGAGACTGGGCCTATGATGAAAGAAGCCTTGTTGCCCGGCCCGGGGGGGCTGGGGGTGCTTGTCTTACAGTGAAGTGTCAAAACTCCAGTCTGAGGGATGTGCAGAAAGAAAGAGCCTCACGTCAGCCTCCGGGATGGGGGAGTAACAATGGAAATGGACATTTGAGGCTCAAGTTCTCTGCAGTGGCTTCAGTAGTTGTCGTCGTGACTGACTGGGCATATCGTACTGAACAAGGTAGTTGGCATCAGTCACTTTTGCAAAAAAAAAGCCCCTGAGGCAGATGGGCTCTGCTCACCCATCGTACTGTCGAGTGGGCATGTAGGCGATGCATGACATTGTGGTATTGCTGGTGGTCAGCATCTTATTTTCTACTGGACCTGGGGCTTCAGGCAGGCAATCTGCACTTTTGGGGTAGAGTCAGAAATGCCTGCCCCGGTGAATGTCCCATACTCATCAGAAGACTGATGAAAATGCGGCGTGCTCTCCCTCGCAAGTGCGCTTGGATACAATACCATGGGCATCATCGTTGTTGTGGTGTTGCGCACCCACCCCCTGAGCCCCTGAAGCCACTTACACCAGGGGGGGCTTCCGTTTCGGGAATGCATACCGCCGAAACCCCCTTCTCTCTCTCTCTTCAACTTTCCTCTCTGTGCGGCCGTTTCGCCTTGCCGTAGACTAGCGGAAACATGACAACAGGATCTCGGTATGATAACCTCCAACAATCGCGTTGGTAAGTGGCTTTTGGTGGCTTTCTCACTTGCGCAAGTTGATAGCTAACGGCGATGACTCTGTCAACCTACCTACCCACCGAGGGGCCTATCAACGCGGGGTATGGGTGATAGCGATACCGATAAGGATGACAGGCAGTTTTTTGGGGGGAGGGAGACTGGATGGAATAACAGCGATTGGTGGCCTCAAGTTGATGTGCCTTGCATTTCTACCCTGTTCATCCGATCAGGGGGGGGGGGGGGGAAGAAATTCGATATGAGCCACAAGGGCGAACTGGTAGGAAAACGCGCAAGTGTGCAGGTGGGAGGCGAAGCACTGCCACAGATCTGGATTTGCAGCCGGAACGGAATGGACGGAGATATCGATTTCGTATCGCTTGGGTCTTGGGTTTGATAACGACGACGAAGTGGAGGCGATAACTTCGTAATTGATGTGTCAACAATGCCGCAGCAATATGAGCCTGGTTTTTTTTGTTGGGGATAGAGGCGATATCGTCTTTGATGCGGGCGTGGGCTGTTTCGTGTTCTCGTGATGTTCGGGGCATCAGAGTGCTGGAGTGGTGCCAAGAGTTGGATGCTGGAAGTCACTGTGGAACAGCGCGCACTGTGTGGCTCGTGCAGAGGGGTTAAAAGCTTGGCAGGCCTGGCTGAGTCATCCTTCCGAACGACAGCAGAGGACATCATGCGACGAAGATGAGATGGCTCATGATGAGTGGACAGGTCACACAACTGACGAGATTTGTTTCAGTTGCTCCTCCTGAGGAATGGATAATATCTCATGATTCTTATTTTGTTCATACAGATACTATTTTCACATGTTTGCTGGAGTTATGCACGCCATCCTACGTCCTTCGGGGTCGGTTAAGCGCTTGAAGACTGCCCAACTGCGATCCTACGACTGCGGCCCAGCCTAACGACATATGGTCGGAGGGTTTGTTTGTTCGGCGTCTTTTCTGGAAGGTTGGTGCCGCCAGCCATCATTCCATCGCGCTGTAGTTGAGGAAGAGGAACCAATTTGCCTCATCGGTCCCGACAAGTTGGTTCGATTGTGCTCTACGCCACATGAGGTCTTTTTGCAGACATTGGGGGCTGCTTATGAGGCTTGTTTGTGTGGCCAAGTCCAACAATGAAGAATTTCTGACTACTCGGGTCATACAAAATCGTATGAGCATGAGATTCGCCAGCACTTAGAGACTAAAGGATTGAGCGATGGTTTCCCGAGGGAATGGTTAGGGTACCTACTCAAGGTTCCGAGGTAACATATCGATGTCGATAACAAGGTTAGAGATTTCCAACGGTATTTGAGAACTGAGTCGGTGTTTTTGTTATGATCAGGGTGGTCAACGAGATGAACCAACATAGGTGTCTGTCGGTTTATCCTGCACTGTTCTTGGTCGAGTGTCTTTGGTGACTCGCCATGGCAAGAGTTACCATTTCCCTCATTTATGCTGCCCAATCTATAGTTACAGATAGATGAATAATCTCTACATGGGGTACCTAAGTCACACATGTGTGAGGTGGGTTGCAGCACAGAACTGGTATTGCTAAAAACTTGGGTAACGTGCTTTCATAACATTTATCATAAGCTTCCGAGTATTGAACACACGTAGATCTGTTACTAGAGATACCTGATATTAAGCCGATACATTGGTAACCAGATAGCGCAGTTGTTAAGATGCCAGTGTGAAGACAACCTAAGTATTATCCACCTTCTTCTCCTTCTGACGAGATATTTGACGAAATGCTTCCTGCATGCTCTGTAGCTCCCTGCAAAGCAACTTGAATGCGTCCTCCTCGTTACCTACCTGAAGCAGTCGCAGTCCTATGAACAGTCGTTCCATATTGTAATGTGGTGAAAACAGAGAAGCACACCTTGATTGTAGGGAATCCCGAACTTGTCCCTCAACAGGCGCCGCCATTTCTAACAAAAGCCGGAGAACAGGAATCCATACCCTACATATCTTCTCTACATTCATTGTTTCCATGGTTGAGAATTGTCGCGAGACAAACGCTACTAGATATTCAGACCACACTGTACACCTAGTTCCCGATCCGGTATTAGCGCCTTGCGACAATAGCTCGAAGCTAATGTCCGCGCCTAAATTCAACAGCAAACTGAAAGATGTTGACGCTGGGGTCTGGGCGGCTGTAGGCTGCGTCTATGAGAAGAAGGGACGGGGCTTGTAGAGATCTCCCGGTGCGAACTCTGACGTATTCTGTCACATTTTCCCTTGTGACATGAGATAGAAAACCTTAGTGGCTCGAGAAGGTAGCGTTTTGCCACCAAGGAGATCGTTCCTGATTATGAAGAACACCCTCTTTCTCCAAAGGAAGTGCCACCTTGTCGAGAATCTCTACCATGATTTCAGTATTTCCTGTCGCAACCCACCGGGCGGACACCATAACCCCGAAGGCCCGCAACGTGATATCAATCTTCCGATCTTGCCCGGTGATGTAGGAGGGCATTGATTTTATAGATAGCAAGTATGCTGCGCACAGTTGCAGATATGGATCGAACAGTTCCGTGGCGGCCTGCAGCCGAGCTTGGACATCGTGTCTCCTAAGATAGTCCTTGACAGTTCGATGAAGGTATTCAACTGGATGTGGCTGCAGAGCATCTCCAATACTGGTTACCTCGAGCAGGCCCATACAACGGCTGTTGAGGCGCCGCCTGATTGTAGAAAGCTGCGAATCATATTCCTCCTGTGAGATTGGTCGATTGTCCATCTCGATGGCCTGAGAAATATTTTCTGCGTCTGCGAGAAACAGGATTCGCGCTTCTAACACGCCTGTGTGTGCCTTTTTCAATTCAAAATATTGAGCGGCATGTTCAAAGTAGAAGGTATCCCATGTTTTGATGATTGCGTCATAGAGATCTTCCAAGTCAGGAGGCAAGGCATCCAACCTTCCTTGGAGATCGCTGATTCGGTCGTCATTGTTCAGTCCGGTCAAAAGCGATTTCACAACAAGACACACCCATAAGAAGACACCATCAGCTTTGTCCACAATATTCTTCGCGAGTTGCTCCGCAAAGTCGGGCTCGCGCGCTCGAAGGCGCCTAAAACCACGGTTCCCTCGTAGCGCGGACTGAGTGTACTCCTCCATGTCTTGACGAGTCAAGTTTTGAAGTAGCAGTTGTGGCTTCTGATAGAATGACTCCTCAAAAGCCACCCAAGGACGGCTGGCAGCGCAAACCTTGATGGAATGCGAGGTGAAAGCCTCAATGGTGTCAAGGACATCATCTGTACTCCCCCCGAACTCGTCCAAGCCATCAATGATAAGACAGATCCTCGAGGTTTTGCCCACTTCACGAACCGTAAAACCCAGCATTCTTCGCAGGTCATCGGCCTGAACCATTGGCATTGGCGCTCCGAATAGATAGGTCCCCTCCCATGTCTGAGGCGCGAGTTTAGGAATGATGTGTTTGTGCTGGTCCAGCAATTGGTAGAGCAGGGACCGAAACAGTCCTTCGGAAGATGCTTGCATCGCGGTTCCCGACGCCCAAAAATAAAATGAAGCAATGGTGACTGGCGCACCATTAGACCAGACCTGGAGGTGCTTCATGAGTTGAGGATGTTGAGAGATGAATTTCATCAGTGTTGACTTCCCAGAGCCAGCCTTGCCTGTAATCCAGTACAGCAGGGAATCCTTCTCGCACCATTCGACAAATTTGTCCCATGGATGCTCTGCTTCAACGTTTTCGTCGAAAATCCACTCAAATGTGCGCTTGTGAGCTTCATGGATTTGAGACTGTCGTTGATTCTTGCCGTCTGTGCCAAGAACCGTAGACAAGAACTGCTGTTGAAGCTTGTTTTCTATTGCTGGGGGGATAACCATCTCTCCTTGACCTGTGGCGACACGATTGAGGGTAGAGCTATGCAGAGTTTTCCATCGGATAGAGTCTGTCGCGTAATTATCCAGTCCTCCTCTGTGGGCGAGATGCTGGAATAGCGCGTGGGCTGGAGTGCTTTGTTCTGGTCGTGGCACCTGAGTTACGCCGTCAAGTCTTTGAAGAATGGCCTCCTGATGATCAAGTGACTGCATCGCAAAGTTTCTAGATCTGTCAGCTCATGCCCAAAGGGACCTGACACTGAGAGACAAAGTAGGTACACACCTGATGGTGACGAGAAGACCAAGAACAGCTGCTGACGAAAACTTTCGATTCGTTTCTCCAAGTCCTCAAGTTTGGAGCGATTCCACCGCGCCCTAAATGCGATCATGATGGACTCTCTTTTTCCCCGGATTCTCTGGCAAATCCAACTGATCCAGTGAATTTGTGAGGTCTTGTAAAAGAGTGAGGCACTCATTGTGAAGTGGCAACTGCGATGTCTCTGTCGGGTGCTTCTCCTTCATCTGGGTATCTTGTCGCTGCATTTCCGACAGCATCTTATGGAGTTCCTTGGAGATACCGCGAAGATCGTTGACCTTGCCCAGTGCGGCCGGGCCTGAACGGTAAATCTCATGGGCCTGGTTAATGAATGATCCTACCGCTTGGCAGAACTGAAGGATATTGGCTGCGAGGCCGAGGCCCTCGAGGGTCTCCATGTCGATGAGGTTGTAGTTTGGTGTCAAGCATCACAACACAAGACGTTGGGTTGAGAGTATCAGAAATCAGAAATGGCACTGGTTCTGTGGCTGTGTTTCGAGCCCGTAAGGCAACAATCCAGTCATATGATGATGAGGGGTCACAGCAGCTAGCAGGTGCTTGCTTGCATGAGCAACCTTGCGTCTGTGATCAGAACTCTAGTGGGACCTTTGTCTGAAGCTTGACAAGCATTGATTGGTATCTCTGGCTGAATTCAGGGGCTCAGGGGCTCAGGGGCTCAAAGGCTAGCGGGTCAGAGCTAAAGTGGAGGCAGTTTCCTGTGAAGGAGATTGCCCGAGGACATCACAGAAATACTGCTCTTGTAAGCACTAAATCTAACTCGGTTAAATATCCAAACCTGGTTTAAGGCGCGATGGCAGAGTGGTCTAATGCGTGAGACTCGAAATCTCATCTCTTCGGAGGCGTCGGTTCAAATCCGGCTCGCGTCGTATGCTTTTGCCAAATTCCCAATTGGCCACACAAGACTGTGTGTGATCATCAAACTGCTTTTTAATTTTTTAACTTCAAGTTGCACAAGTGATTTTCCTTTTTCGTTGCTGCCTCTGTGAGGGACAATTAGAAAGCTTTAGTAGCCCGATGGCTGTATACCTATGCGCCGCCTTTAATTTATTCAGTGAATCGACACCTATATTGTGATTCCTTGCTAGATTGCTGCTGTGACCTCCTGAATTAACAACTCTAAGTCCAGTGCCGGTGAAAGGGCTAGACCGGTCTAAGGTAAGTATATAGCTGTAATCATCTCCTCGATTTTCACTAACTTATAGCTTACTAACGCCACCACATTCGGAGCATCATATAAAGTGACAGCCTGGGACTGGATGTTATCATCCCTGCAGATAGATATGCGTGTTCGGATGCTTTCGGTGGCCTGGTATAGGTTATCTGCCTTGCCTATGACCCGTACCACGCCGCTCAAAGGGAGAACTGCTCGTATCGCAATTTAGGTGCAATTTAAGTATAGCGGTACCTGATGGTCAGTCCCTCCTGAACAGCACGGTTCATCTGCACGTATTTAGACGCAGATTCCCAAATGTGAGCATGACCCACGCAACTCCAGACAAGGATCATATTCTCCCAACAACAAGAGCAACAAATCGAGAGATCATGATGAATCGCGTCCAAGGCTTCAACATCGAGGACTTGGCTCCAGGAAGACCGGCTTTCGAACTTTCTCGTGCACTGCCACAAAAGGCTGCAAACCCAGTATCAGGCAACGTGACCCAACCCGCAATGGAATGTGCCGATCACGATGAGATGCGTGATCACGGGGAATGGCGCCCATACCTGCTTCAGAGACGAACGTTTCACGCCTTTATTGCTACATTTTTGCTATTGGGTATCGGACTGGAAACAATTTTTGTCATCTCTGAGAGGCATCAAGGCCTGAAAACAGCGTCTGCTAACGGTACATTGCTCTACATATGGACCTATGGTCCCACACCCCTCCTGATACTTATCACTGGTGTCTGGTCTTATATCGACTTCCTCGCAAAAGTTTCGTCTCCTTGGATCAGACTTCGCGCCACGAAAGCTGGGCTGGATGTCCAGGAGAGTCTTACATTAGACTATCTTTCCTCGCTCTGGATCCGGGCACCCTTTCAAGCGATGCGGAATCGGGATCGCCTTGTTGCCGGAACCACCGTTGTATCGTTGTTCCTCAAGATCATGACCATCTTTTCGTCTTCGATGATTAGAGTCAAGAGCATGGAAGTCACCACCGCTGTCGAGCTACGCACGTCCTTTCTCGATGACCCCTCACGTCTGGCAAACCCAAAGGTTCTGTCACTCTTCAACACTATCGGCATACGCGAATACAGGATGAACTATCCTCGTGGGATCGCGCAAGACTTTGTATATCAGTTAGTTGAGCCCGATCCCGACTCAGTCTTGGAGATGCATGCGCAAATCGAAGGCATGACTTCGAATTTAGAATGCCAGGCGGCAGATCTCAGTGGATTCCACCCAGATAGCATGATTCGCCAATCCAATTTGAGCGGCGTCTTTAACTTAGGTTTGAGTTTCAGGGCCTCAAATTGCTACATAAAGATACCAAGTCAAGCCTTTTCATTCCGGGTACCTATGGAAGCAGCCTCGCCGCAAGAGATCTTGCCATATGTCCTTTCTAGAGTCAGGGTTGTCGCACGGGTATTGACTGGCCGATGCGAGTCTTATCCCAGCGATAATAATAAGAAAGCGGACCAGGCTACACATCAGGTATACGCTGATTATCAACGGTTGGTGTGGGTTGTTTTGGAAATCGATATCATTTACAGCTACTCTCCTGAAAGCAACGACACGACTATTGTTCTTCGAAAAAGCCAGCAAATTGTCTGTCGACCCAGTTATGCTGTATTCGATCTTCAGGTGCACCGTGGCCGTGGTACGGGCAGCCAAGAGAACGCCTTTTTGTCAACGCAGTCCCAGATGAGGAGGCTTGGTCGTCTTCATGCCTGGGACATATGTCGGGCTTTTCGCGACGTTCACCCGCAAATAACTGACGAAACCTCGCCATTTGAATCTCCCTCCATCACACGAGTTTCTGGGTTGTCCGGGTTTGATGACATTGATCTGGACGTCGACGGAGTCAGTCTGTTCAACCTAGGGCTCGGCCAAGAAGCATTTCCAAAGTCTTCATGGATTTTTAACTACACCACACTAGCCTCTTCTTTACAAGACTATTACCGCTTGCATACAACCTTTCTGATACACAGTACACTTATAGAGTCGACTCAAACCCCCTCCGCCGCCATAGCTTATGTCAAAGTTGATCGCATCATCGTTCGGCGTCTATCGTCCCAAATCATCGCTGGATTGTGCTTTGCCTCGGCGATCACTCTAGCTTTGTCGAAATCCGCGATTCCGAATAAATTCAGCCTGAGAGGCGATCCGAGAACAATTTTGGGCGTTAAGAACCTGAGCACTGGTCTTGGCGATGGATTTCAAAACGATCCCAAAGACTCGGTATCCTCAACATCCGAGGAAAGAATTCACGAGACGAAAGCTGGATCACTGGAGTCGAAGCTTTTAGCACAACTACCTGCACGCTCTACTTCAAAGCCTTGCCATACATACCAGCCTTTTACCTTACAGTGGTACTTGCGTATCCCGGCTTATCTTGTGGCTCTCAGTTTCATAGTGATCCTCGAGTTGCTGCTTCAGATTTCAACACGCAATCAAGGCATCGGTCCAGCAATTCAAGCTCAAGAATATCTCAACTACCTTTGGACACTGTTACCGGTCTTCGCCACAAGCCTATTGAATATCTTTTTCGCTTCGTTGGACTTGGACATACGCACCCTCACACCTTACTATGGTATGCTCGAGAGACCCGCGTCGAAACGGTCATCTACGAATTTAAATCTCCGTGGGCTTCTAGGAATTCACGCCTTGATAAAGGAACTGAAAATACGAAACTCAGCTTCGGCCGCATCAACCATAGCCGCGTTGCTGGCGAGCCTGCTAGCCTTGGCATCACCTACGCTATTCTTCGAAGCTGACAAACCAACGGTTTTGAAAAAACAACTTCGATTGGTCGGTTCCTTTTCATCTGCCATCTATCGCGATACAGACTATGGCAACTGGCACTCTGAGAAGTCATGGATCGGTTACGATGAGCTTGGCATTGTTATGACTTTGATGCTGCAAAGCAATCTATCATCACCACACTTGTCATACAATGAGCTAGTCTACCCAACCCTGGCCTTGGAGGGGCTGAACGCGGACGAGAAGCAATTAAACCAGTCTGAGTTGGAGATTGCGGCGGTGATACCTGTTTTGGCGGTTGTTTTCGAATGCCATTTGTATCGCCAAAACGAAATCGCAATCGATGTTCTGGTTGCAGACACTATCAGAGTCAATGTCTCCGGGGAATATTGTTCGAATAACAACATCACGCCGCCTGAGCTTGCAGCGACAGCTCTCTTTGCCATAGGCGATGCAGACACATCCGTCAACGTGTTTGCTGGCGCCGCCGGGCCAGCTGAGACATCGAATATACAGGTTCGCGCGTGCAGCAACTTCTTCTATGTTTGGGGCACCTACACCAGGCCCACTACTGGCGGTTCCCCTTCAATGAGCGTCTCAGCCCTACGCTGCAATAACTCGATAGATGTTGTCGAAGCTGAAACCACCTTTCTTGGCACTGAACTTGCCATTCATCCTGATCTTCCCCCGCGAATAAGAGAAGAGTCCAGAAGAATGATGATACCTCCACTACGAGCGTCCAGCCCTAAATTCCCGCCAGAGGTATACCCTAAATACATGTCTTTGCCAGCAGCGCAGCCTGGACTATGCTTTGATCAGTTCTTTAACTATCTACGTCTATCTCAACCCACACTACCCATCTCGGTATTTTCTGATCCGTCACAAACATCAGAGGTCATAGGCGCTATCAGACGCCAACATATTATGTTCATGTCACAAACCATCAACATCAAAGCTCGTATCTCACGGGACGGGCCTGGAGAGCGAGCGCAGCATGACCGAGGCATCTTCTACGCTATGGGTCTGGGAAAACTGAACTTTACCACTTATGAGGCAACTGTCAAGATCACCTCCTCTCGGCTGGACACCTGGAAGGAATCAGGACGTGTTTTCCAGAACGAAACGGCAACCAGAGTGATCCAGGTGCTACTTGGCGCAATACTTTTCTTCTCGCTTGTGAACTGGGCATTGATGCCGCGCACTGCATTCCTACCTCGACCGCCAACAAGTATCGCTAATGTACTCGCGTTACTCGTGGACGGCAATATCTTTCATCTTTCCGAACTAGAGTCGAAAAAAGTCCCTGAATCACCCGACGACCAGAATGAGAGTAAGATACAGGCCACGAATCATGATAGTCTGTACAGGTTAGGCACGGGCAGTTTCAAGTGTCCAGACGGAAAGTTTCCTGGTAGCGAAGATGGTGATGAGGGACGGTTCGCAATATGGGTTGTGGACGGGGCAGATATAAAAGCGGCATGACGCTGCCTTACCCTTTGTAGTTGAGCTCTACCTAGGTCGGCACCTAGGCATGCAGTCACTAGGTACTATGTAGGTAGTTGATAATTCCCCCAAGAGAATCTGGAAACCGAAATACCTCATCTATTTTGGGCGTCTTGCTAAAGAACGGGAATGACCTGTTCCCATATTCCCGACTTCAAAACCTGGCTATTGTCAGGAGCCGACCAAAACAATGCCGCAACCAAGAGAGCCCTCCAGACAAGAAGATCATCCAATACTTCCTCGAACGTTCTTGTCTCGCTCTCACCGAATTGGATGTCTCTGTCTGGAGGTTGGTAGTTGAGACCTTCCCCATCAGTCTCTACTTCCGGCCCATCATCATGCTGTGCCTGGGAACCCTGAGCAGTCGTCGAACCACCACGACCAAGACGGGTTCCCGGGACCATGCCCTTCCTAGGCCCATGGTTGCGGTGACATTTATCCAGAAAGTTTTTCAAGGCTTTGACGACCGAGTTATCCCAGCCCCACGGGCGTATCTTTTCCATGGTTCGATTTACACCTGGGAACAGATGGTGGCTGTTGGGGTCACTTGTCGCTTCGAGGAAACTGTCAAGATTTTCCAAAGTGTTAAGGTGCTTTGCAGTAGGCGGCGGGTACGGTGACGAGTCCACAATGTCATGATTCCACTGTCGGTGTGGGTGTGATCCAACAGCCACTCCCTCCTCTTCACCATGTTGAACCTGGGTTTCCCCGTCCAGTAAAATTGCAGTAACAACAAGCAGCCGCAAAGTTCGTGCTATCGGGAGGTACTCGCCACAAACCGCAAGAAGCCAATAATCGAGCATCTTAATTTGCAGATAGATCAGAGCACGTAAGTACTGACGCTCGAGCGCGGACATGGCGTCAAGCCTTGCCTGAAACTTGTCCAACCCAAACACAAGGTCCTGGCAAACATCAAGAAGTGGAGTTCTAACCACTACGTGAGTGACAGGTCGGTCGCCTTGGGGTTCTTTTGATTTGTTTCCTAAATGTAAGCGAACATCTGACATGAGATTCATGGCTTGAATTTCGGTGAAGTGAAAGCCGAATTCGTCGCTCCATCGGAGCTGATCAATATCTTCTCCGTCAATGAATCTGGAGATACCAGCAATCATTTTTGCCGTGACATCCGTAGGGAGAACTGAGGTGTCCATAACAAGACGAATTCTCAACCTTGAAGATTCAGAGCCCCGCATGCTGACGGTGACCTCTTCTGGAAAGGCAACAGGGGTTGATCTGGAGCTCTGGGAGACCGAACTGTCCTTTCTGATCCCGCCTGAATGACACCAGAAATTGTGGTGAAGTGCAAGGAGCGAAAGGAGGTTGGGGTTGCGTCTTGACAGCTTCCCAGGGAAGATTGATGGAATACCGTTCAACCTATTAAAGATTTAGCACAGTCGTTATAAGTATAACTAGACCCATTTCATCATGAGGTACCTAGTTTAGGGGACAAGTTGGATTGCCATACTCGATATCAGCCCCCAGTAACCATTGCAGTTCTCCGTAGCCATCAGCAAATCTGCGGCATGACTCCTGCCAATAAATGTCGTGCATCGATTGGGTGATACCGATAGGTAGCCATTTTCTCAGTGTTATGGTATTTAGCAATTGACACCCTCGAGAACGATGGTTCCACTGAGGCCAGCAATACACCTCGCCCCGGGCGTGCAGTATAGCTACTATGGCTTTGGTGCTTTGGCGATAATCATGCCAGATAGGACGGCTTGCGAAAGGCTCATTCGTCTTTTTATCGTGCCCCTTCAAAGGTAGGCGAGAAAGCTGCCCGTGCTGAGAAAACACGCCCACGATCCCCAAGACGGGGTGTTGGCGAAAGTCGAGCTGAAAACTGTCTCCAATGATAACCGGATAGTGCGATGATTCGGACCCAGTGAATATCATTGAGTGGGCTCCGGATGCTGCTGCTGCTGCAATGAGAAAGCCAATCTCGGCATATGCTGGCGCAGCTACGAGATCGGCTGGAAGGTAGTCCGCCATAGTCGTCTCGACAAGTGCCGTTCCGAATGTGATTCTATGGAGCTTGACGTGGCTCAGGAATCGTAGCCAGGTCGCGCTATACTGACCGGGTTTCTCGGTACCGAAGAATTTGTTGTACTCCTCACCAACCCGTTCAAGTCTTCTCAAGCACATCGTTCCATTAAGGGCCCGGGCGCCTTCTGTGCTGGAAAGCACTTTGTCTTGGGATTCGCGAGATTCCCGAAAGATATGCCACTCCCGCCGCCCTCCCATTGTTTGCAAAAAATCATCGGCGCGAAGGACGGGTGTCGAAGCAATGGACAAGCTGTTCAAGTCCCTCCAACTCCATTCTGTTTTGGTCTTCAGAGCCCAGGGACCAATCGCTCGACGATTGGATTTTCGACGTCCCGGTCCAGAAGACAGGACTGCTTGATAGATAGTAATGGCAGCGAAAAGCGCGGCGAAAAGACCGATGGGTGCAGTGAAGAAGAAGGTGAGAGGGTCCCAGTTGAATTCTTCCGCTGTGTTGGTTGTCTGTTTATCAAGTGCAGCGAGGACAAGTCGCAACAGGCAGTCGGTTGAGTTTGCGTCTTCGGGACAAGTTGCACTGTCGACATTGACTTTGTCGGTCATGATATATCCATGCCCTCTCGAGAGCCGTGTAGCGAAATGGGACGGACGGAGAGTTGGTGATGAGCGACAGGATCAAGAGGGCAGGTTGGGCAGCCTCAGCATATCGCTTCCGATTGGCTGGATGCAACACCCTGGCACACTGAATAAGTAGGTAGGTAAGCAGACCAAACGCGTGCACAGATTCGGCTTACGGGTGGTAAAACATCCTAGAATTCACCTCAGGCAACTATGACCGGCAGAAAGTAAGGTAACGAGAACCGAGAGGAGATAGCCTCGGCCCTGCTTTCTCTCAACCATAGGTCCAACCTCCCCCTTTCCTGTCCTTGATGATAGCCCCTACCGCCCTCCAAATACGGGCTCCCATAAGCCTCCTAGCTGGCCACCTTGTAGAGATATATATCACCCGGCTTACCCTGTGGGTAGGATGTCCTTTTGGTTCCACGCACCTTCAACCACCGTATCCCCTACTCCCTCATAACAACCACCACAACCCCTCTGACCCCATGACAAACCCCCTATATCCACTCCACAACCCCCGTATCCCCCCAAACCTTCCCCCTCTTCCCCGACTCCGGCACCCACTCGCCCCTAACGACCGCCGCCCTTCCTCTCCTCCCCATGATAAACCCCATACCCCCACTCCACCCCCCTCATATCCTCCCTAATCTTATACCTCCTCTCCAACCCCCTCCCCCGTCCAAGATCAACCTCCACAACCCTCATCTCCTCCGTCTCAACCCCCATAACGCCCCCCTGATTCCCAACCCCCGGCAACCCAACCTGACTCAAACCCCCAGCATTAACAAACACAACCGCAGTCCTATTCTCAAACGCCCTCGTAACCACCACCCCCCGTAAAAACTCCTCCTCCCCCCTCCTCGCCCTCTCCCTTTCCCCTTCATCCCCCTCCCCAAAATCCTCCGTCACCAACCAAAAACTAGGTATAACAACCAGTTCCACCCCATCCCCAATCAACTCCCTAAACCCCTCCGGGAAAACCATATCCCAACAAATCAACATCCCTCCCCTCACCGGGGTTCCGTCAGGGAACGTCAACCCAGGGATATCAAACCCCCTGTGTCGACCCCCCTCCTTCCCCCAGGCAGTCAAATGCTCCCGTTCGGGGTGCCACAGATTCCGCTTTTGATACCGTCCCACTACCTCCCCTGTCAACCCCGAGATGAAGTAAGCCATGTTCCTCACCTCCACCCGCCGTTCTTCATCTTTGCCGGTGCTAGAAGTAGCAGTGACTTCCTCAGCCGAAAGCGAAGGGTGGACCTCGCAGATGGTTCCAGGAACGATATCAATTTTGAGTTCCTTCGCCAATGATTGGTACTGAGAGAGGTAAGAGCAAGACTCGACGCAGGAGGAGAGAAAGTCTGGGTGGGAGGGGCACCAAGAGGTGAGGTGATACTCGGGCAGAACAGCCAGCTGGGCCCCTTGGGAGGCTGCCTTGCGGATGTACGAGGCCGAGAGGGAAAAGTTCTCCGAGGGGGACACATCCTATCAGGGGGTTGGTTAGTTTAGCCAACAAAGCTGAGCTGAATGGTTTGGGACGAATAGATCGGAATGATGACATCACCGGCTCAGAGAGGCTCATTCATACCTTTGGCTGGAACTGGATGAGGGCGATTTTGTAAATAGGTGCCATTTTAAACGATGGGTTTCTAATTGCGTGCTGCTGTAGAAAAGGTTGAGAGTCCTGGGTTGTTGAAATAGTTCTTGGAGCATTGCAAATCGAGGTGTGTGTGAAAGCCGATGAGGCTCTGCGGTGATCATCACCCCGCGTCTGTGGAGACCAAAACTGTCGTGACATAAGACGCCTCACAATCTGCCTTACCACTGGCCCAAATCATAAGTATTATGCATCATCATTTCTCATTGGCTCTAACTGTGTGCGCCGCGATCTGTTCAGAATCATCATGCCCATCCGCCCAACGCCGTTTTCCCCCTTCTGGTCCCGTCCAAGTCCTTAGAGAATGGTGCCAAAACCAAAAGTCCTCTTGATGCTGCGGACGTAGTACTCGAGCCAATTCTGCTTGGTGGGCTCCTCTTGGCCGATGGGCACGCCGGTCCACTCGACGCGCATGACCGTGACATGGTCAACATCGTTCTGGTCAAACTCAATGCTGAGCTTAGAGTAATGGCCAGCGGGCCACTGGTCCAGACGCCAGCTCTGGACAATCTTCTTGGGCTCCTCCAACTCCAGGTACTCGCCAGACACGTTGCCACCAAACAACTCAAACCTGCCGCCCTTCTTGGCGCCCTCAAAAACCTTGGGAGGGGCGCGGGTGAATGCAGCTATCCGCTGGGGATCGGTGAAGGTCTTGTAAAGCTCCTCAGCTGTGGTACGGAACTCTTCGTTATCGGTCACGGTCGTGGTGTTTACGACGCTTCCGGCATTGGACTGGGTGGTTGTGGTAGTAGCCTTGGTGGCCTGGGCGCCGGTCGGGGGGTGGTACTTGGGGGTCGTGAAGCCGCTGGATGGGTTTGACCCAGCAGGGTGCTGCAAGTCCTTGCCGTGCTCAGCGATGAGGGCAGGAGCCAGCTTGACGAATTCGCTGCGAAGCTGAGGGACGATCTTGGACTTGACCAGATCTCTGACAGCCTGCTTCTCCTTGGACTCGGAGTGGACGTCGATGTCAAACTACAAGGGCGACACTTAGTCGACTGTTACAACACGTTGTGGCCGGGAAGAGTGCAACCTACCACAAATTCATCCTCATCAAGCTCGTGCGACACCTCGGGCACCGTGATGGTCCCCGAAACCTCGTCGCCATCGGCAGTGGAGCCTGCAGGACAGAGTTTTAGCCTACGAACACGACATGGGCAGGAGTCACAGGACGGAATGATTGGCAATGGGTTTTCAGGAAAAAGTGATATTATTCTATGGAAATACGTACCTGTGAACTCCAACGTTAACTTGACATCAAAAATGGTGATAACCTTGCCCTTGCGCTGCGCAACATCGCAGTCGCCGTCCATGCTGACGACCTTGCTAATCTTGGCCGATACATCGCCCTCCTTGGCCTCGATCTTGGTCAGGTTGTCATCAAACCATTTCTTGGACCACCCCGACACGTCCTTGTTGACCCAGTGCCAGTTGTTGGGGTTGTGGAGGACCATTTTTGCGGTAAATTAAAAAAAAAAAAGGGGGGGTATGGAATGGAAGTATGGAATGGAACGGGAACTATGAAAAAAAAATCAGATCTGTGTTCTCCAGTCAGCAATTGGCTCGGTACGAGAGAAGAATCGCGCAAAGGAAGAAGAGAGAGGTGGTGCTAGGTCAGAGATGGTCCTGGTAGACCGCAGCTTCGTCATCAAGGGAGGGAGTACAAGTCGCCCTATGACTGGTGCCAGCTGAACAATCATCATGCAAGCAAGCGATTGGGAGGTTGGTCGAGGGAAGAAGGGCGCGTCCTACCTTTGAAAGGTCGTGATGGTCTTCAGAAGTTGTTTGTTGATGTTTGAAGAGAAGGGGAAGGCTTTAAGAAGTGGGCGAGCGCCCAATGAAGAAAATGGAGAAGGGTCAGAAAGAGCAATTTGGAAAGCTCTAGAAAACTTAACAGGCTCCAGCTGGGCGGGGAGCAGAGGCAGAACACTGACCGCCTTTAGTGGGGTAGCTCTCAGTATGGGGCTGGAGCTCGGTTTCTGCCGCCTGATCGAGATCTGACATGCCGCATCAAACACCACCAAAATCAGATCGACAGGGACAACCAGGAGCTTGATCTTTTTGCTATTGATGAATCAGATTTACAATGACCAATTAATCCTGCTGAACAGCCTTGCAGCCTTCCTTCTTGGACATCACAATATGTGTCACCTGGCAACTCGATATTCCAGCTAGCGCTGATGATCATACTGGACGCGATTCACAAACACAGCACAGCAGCTCAACGCGTCCGCGTAACCTCCGCCCGGTATCACGGATTTCCTGCCCTGTTTTGATGTTGATAGCCATGGCCAAATTGGTTTGCCAGAGAGAACATTTCGACCCTCATGACACAGCAGCTGTTGACACCCGACCGGAGCTTTCGACCGGCACACATGCTCAACTCATGGTGGTTGGGAATCAGATGTTTGTGTGTTACTAGATATTACACACAGGGCAGCGAGTCTTCGGCACTAACCGGATGGGGAGGTGACCTTGAGGCACATATCTGGTCTTCCCGAGACCGCACACACACCGAGTGATCATCCGTAACCACCGCTATCATCACCATTGCATTCCGTATGTATCATTGAGGTACCGGCAGGTTTGCAGACACGGGAAGTCTTGACCCGAATGCCCCGCGACGGCGCGAACCCGGCGCACCAAACTCGGACTTGAACACAGTCCGGATCTCTGTCTTCCCGGGCTAGGGTGCCGCATACCAACATCATCAACATTCTCATGACGCCCTTCAACCTCGAATCCACATGGAAAACATTTCACCAGTAAGAAACCACTGCTATTTATAGGGACCCGATCACATCCTGTTCCCAACGATCGGGCCCGATGTGGGGAAGCTACGGTTGCCCAGCTTGTTTGGTGTTGACCTCACAGGTCTCATTGGGCCATCACATCACCAACAATCCGAGCCCATGCAGAGCCGCAGGAAGGGGGGCAAACACCACTGACTTACAGGTCACGGCAAGAATTTCTGCTTGGGGTTGTCACTTATTGTGCTGGATGCCATGCGGTTCTATCGTCAAATCATGTGGTTATATCTTGAAAGCTCGGCATCAAATCTTCAACTCACCTCACGACAGTGTGGGGGTGGAAGCGGTCACCCCACATTCAACACAGCTGATCCGCCCACCCTCATCTCACCAACAGCTTCCCTCTTAGCTAGTTGTCTACGATTGCTGAGAGGGAGGACGTCAACAGGACTGGCCCACGGCACCATGGAGAGGTTATCAATCCTATTCAAAACATCTGAGATTCCAATTCTAAACACTCTGCTTTGCTCGATCCCAAGGGGAACAACGAAGGCTGCGTTTCCGTCCCAGCTGGAGAGAACGCAACTGCATCCAGGAAAGCGATCAAGACCTCATTTTGGGGTCTTCCGGGCTTGAGTTGGGTGCCTGGAGGCGGAACAAATCCCTTACGACAGCAGAGACAAAGGTGAATTGTCCAGAGTGGTGTGGTGATTGATGCTTGCAATGTGGACTGTTCATGGTGTTGTAACAATTATTATCAAGGTGTGAGTATAGGAGGCCCGAGCACTCGAACCCCAAGAGTCTGGGTCATCGGTACGGATAAAAAGCGGTGGAAAAGACAACGAGATCAAAACATACAGAAAAGTCACACAGCCTCAAGACGATATTTTGTCAAGAACGCATGAAGCCCAAGCCGGGAGACGGACACCATTCCAAGAATGGACTAACGCGTACTGTTGATGGAGGCATGTGCCATCCGCTAATGCGTCGACAGCAGCCGAATCATATGGCGGAGAATCAGCAAGGGGGTTAAGCGCCGGCAGCACGCATCACCGACCATTTCACAGCGTCGAGCGAATCATCGCGGGGAATCTGAATTTTACCCACAACCAAAGGCAACCAAGAATAGATTACCGGCAGACTACGACAGACGTGCCCAATCACCGTCGCACCTGCCTCGCAGTCAACAGACCCCTCCTTTTGCCCTTCTCGCTCTCGGCCATCCCATCGCCACCATGGTCCAGTTCACGCCTGTCAATCCGGAAGCCAAGAGACCAAAGATGGCACAGGTTAATGCCAGGCCGTGACTTGACCCGTTCCTGATAGTAGCAAATCGACGGTTCTCTGTAACCCCCCCGCTACCGCAGGAACCATCACCAGTTCTGAGGAGAGGGAGCAGAGCAGTCACCTGTAGGTGAAGCCGTGCGAGGATCCAGGAGGTGCCTCCTGCATGTCTGGTCTGTGTCTTGCAGGTCCAGGCACAGGGCAATCCGGGTTTGAACCCCGTCGAGGAGCCCCCTCCCTCTCTGCCATCCTGCCTGGGAAACAAGCAGATCGAGACCAGTTGCAAAGGACTGCTGCAGAATACAGACGGGGCACGATATTGTCCCAGCGGGTGCCTGCCTGGATGCTTACGTTTAGCACGCTCCAGGGTCACCAGCTGGCTGTACGCAATATATTGCAATTCTCGGAGTGAAGCCCCTCTGGAGAAGGCCCGTCTGGGAGAAGAGTTAAAGCGGGTGGCCGGCTCCCGCTCTTCTTCCATGCAGGAGGTTTGACTGTTAATATACGTACCGTAGTACCACTCCGGGTCTAGCACCATGGTCCATAACAGCAGCAGCAGAAGTGGGAACACCACCAGCGGGCAGCATGCAGGGGTCTTGATAGGTTGGGCATATTGGGGCATAGTCTGGTCTTGAGGAATCCCTCTTTTATCTCCTGCAACGCTCCCAACCCCCACCGCGGAACCACACCACGTTCCATTTGCTGCTTGTTCAGCGCAGTTGCACCGTCCCTTCTTTCAGCCGCGCATTTTCTGATCACGACAACCTCAACTGCGACTGTGGGAATTCGAGGGCGGGCGTGAAGCATCACGATACGGATAACTCTCAGCAACACCTATTTGAGCTCTGACCATGATCGTGTAATCAACAGCCCCGCGAATCGACAAACAACCCACTTGTGTATGGCGAGGTGGCCAGCACCACAAAACCGCTGCGTGGTGTTGGGCTGTGAGTGTCTAGGAAAGATCACACTGGGTGTCTGCTGGAGATAGGGGCCCTCAAGAGACCCGAGGGACTATTCGTGGCTCACATTGGGGTCTGTCTGAGGTTCAGTCCTCACGAGAGATCAGCTACAGCCGAGGGACTTCCAGGACGACATCGAGATGCAACCTATGATGAGCTCTTCACGGGATCCGACCGCGCGCCTTCGTGCTGGACTGAATCCGCTTCTCACAGCATCGTTGGGTGTATATCACCCTCAGCACAACAACGGCACACCTCATTCGGCGCTGTCAGTCAGCTCTCATGGCGCCTTTTCATCCAACCAAACTCCATTGAGCGCCATCCAGCCATACAATCCGCAGCAATGGATCACTTCACCGACTGCGGGACCTGGCCAGGAACCGATGCAGACGGCTGCCATCCAGGAGCCTCAAGGTGAGTGTTTTTGGGACGGTATTCTGAATACGAGACTGATGAGCTGGTAGGTTCACCGCTGCCACCGCCGCCATATTCACCCCCCCGTAGTGCCAGACCGATGAGCATGAACTTCGATCAGGGTCCAGCTGCCAATATCTCAGTTGCTCGAGCACCACATCCCCCTTTGCAGAGAGCGGCTACCGAATCCCCAGTGGCCAACACATCGTTTCCGCCTCCGCCTGGAACGAGGGGCCCTTCCCGAGAAAGGCGATTCGGCCTCCCCTCGCTGACAAGACGTCGTGAGCCCGAGCCAGCCATAGCACCACTTGATCCGAGTCCGCAACAATCATCCCGCTCGCTCAGCGGGCTGTTGTCTCGTCCGGCCGGTGGTCACCCAGGGCCTTTGACGCTGCAGATACCCCACCAAGTGCCACAACGAACAGATTCCGACTCCTCCCAGAACATGGCCCCGAGCGCTCGACGAGCTGTCTCGACACCCGCGGTGGCTACTCCCACATCAGCTAGATCACGCTCTTCGTCTCAGATTCGATGGGACCCATCGATGCCAGTCCCCCCACCACCACCTGGGCCACCACCCTCGTCAAGCAGATCTCAGAGCATGCAGCGGCTACAATCTGGAAGTGACCCTATTGTCTCACCGCCGACCCGCCGACCACCACCAACCGGAGTGGCTGCTCTGGGTCCTGTGCCCTTGACGCCAGCCAACTGGAGAGAGGGCGACAACCTCCCTGGGCCACCAGGGCAACATCAGCAGCAGCAACAACAACATGCTGACTCACCAGCCACGGTCGGCGTTCAGCTTTCAGAGACGTCCAGTGTTGCAAGCTCAGGAGCTGGAGCGCAAACCGAATCTGCTACATCTTCGGCGCCCAGTTCAGCAGGTGGGCTTGTCCGAAGGAGTCCTGTGGTCAGGGGAGACAAGACGCTGCTGGAGCGGCGGAGCGAAAGCCGGACCAGGCTAGCTACACGAGGGTCTGTGGACACAACAAACTCGCCTCATGGCCTGTCTGATATTGTGATTCCTGGTTCGTCCTCCGGTGGGCTGCAACGGCGCCTGACAATCGGAAGAGGCACGCCAAGGACCGGAAGGACGAGCGAGACGCCAAAAACCGGTGAATCGATTGACACGCCAGAATCTAGGACCCCCCGAGCTTCCGGTTCTCAAGGTGTGTCTGGCCAGGTGACACCAACAAGACTCTCGCCCAGTTCCCAAAAACATCCTGAAAGACATGCGGTTCCAAGGGCGTTGCCAACCCCGCCCACTGGCAGCAGGTCGTCCTCGACACACCGGGGCATGGGGCCGGACATGCCGATGTCGGCTCCTCTTTCGCCATCACACAATTTTCCCGTGTCCAAGCATATGGTGATCACGCAGAGCAGCGAGCAGTTTGCTCGTGGTACTGTTGACCGCTTTGCAGCCTTCGCCGACCGAGAAGCATCTGCCGCCAACGATGCCGAGCGAGTTCGATTGTTTGCCGAGTTCTTTGTCAACGAGTCGAGGATACGGAGGGAACGATACGGCGCTGCCATTGGGGCGATGGGTTCTGAGGTGCTGGACTTGACCCGTGATCTGTTTAGGCCGATGCCAGTCCGGAGAGAGTCGATCAATTCGGCCACCAGCGGGACCGTGGAGTTGACACCACAATCGTCAGAACCGAGATCGCATCGTGGGTCGATTGGATCTGCGTTTGAAGGAAACCATGGGGCTTCGTCATCAGCGGTTCAAACACCGACGTCTGTGAATCAGCAGCAGCAGCAGCAGCAGCAGTCACCATCACCCTCTGGGAATCAAAACTGGCCTTCGAACAACTACATGCCATCGTTGTCGCCGATTCTTAGTATGAGCGTCAGTGATGCTGTGGATGAACAGGACTCGAGGGGACGGCCGGCTAGCAGGTGGTGGGAGGCCGACTCTACAGGTGCTCCGTCGTCCAGGATGGAGAGGTCAAAGCGGGAGTCAAAGTATATGGGTGTGCCTAAAGAGGCTCGAGAAGCACTGCAATGGATCGATGAGCCGCAGTTGTCGCCTGCTGGTTCAAGCAAGCGGGCCTCCCACGGGTACCCCCCTGAAAAGACAGGATGGCACGATACAGACCAATCCATGACACCGCAGGCTCTTTCTCGCAACTCGGTTGCTTCATCTTCGACAGCCCCCAACACACCAAACCCAGATCACCTCGACGTATCCCGTCTAGTGACCCTCCCACCTCCTTATCCGCGACATCACCCAGCAGTCAACAACAACCACCCCGAATTGACCGAAATCCGCACCTCGATCCGCACCGTCAGCGACCTCACCGAGGTAACCGCCATCCAAGAAGCCTACAAGCAATCCTCTTCCCAAAAACGCCTCGCCCTCGACGAAGAGCTAAAAAAAGACCGCGTCACCCTGCGCCAAAACCTCCACCAAGACATTTCCTCGGGCGCGCTCTCCTACGCAGACGCAGCCCGCATCGAAGCCGACGCCACAGCCGCCGAGCACACCAAACTCAAAGACCTCGAAAAGTCGGACTTTGACGAATTCCAAACCGTCGTCGTAATGCCCGTGAACGAGATCCTTCAAAGCAGGATCAACACCGCCACCGAACTCTTTGACAACCTCCGCTCCCGCCTCTTCGACGAAACCCACAAATCCAACCCCAACCTCCCCCAGGAAGAAGGCGACGAGCAGCCTGAACTCTTGGAGAAACTAACCCTCCTCAAATGGATCTTTGAAGCCCGCGAAACGTTACATCGGGCGTTGTACGACCTCCTCTCCTCCCGCAACGACCACTACCGCGACCTCGTCCTCGTCCCCTACAAACTCGCCCAGCAAGACGATAAAGTCGCCTCTGCCAAGGCCTTCTTCATCGAAGACGCGAATAAACGCCAGCTAGCCTTTGCAGAGGAAGTCCTCCACCGCACGCAAGAGTTCCGTGATGTAGTCGAGGAAACCGTCGTCAGGGGTGTGGAAGTGCAACTCAACGCCTTTTGGGACATTGCGCCCGACCTCAAGCGTCTCCTCGACAAGATCCCGACTGATATGGAAGGTTTCCACATCCAGATACCAGCGTTGGAGATGGCCGAGAACCCGAGCTACACCGAGCACCCTTTGCAGTATCTCTTCAGTTTGTTGCTGCATGCGGAGAAGAGCACGTATCAGTTTATCGAGAGTCAGACGAACTTGCTTTGCTTGCTGCATGAGGTTAAGGAGGCGGTGGTGGTTGCCAAGGGGAAGGTGATGGAGGCGGAGGGGAGGGATGGGGGGAGGGTGGAGGAGATGAGACGGGAGGAGGCGGGGAGGTTGACGGATGATTTGAAGGATAAGGTTAGGGTTGTGCAGGATCAGTGGAATAGTGCGCTGGGGGAGACGGTGGGCGGGGTGAAGGAACGGGTGGGGGGTTGGTTGTTGGAGACGGGGGGGTGGGATGAGAGTTTTGAGGAGGGGGGGGTCGGTGGTGTTTAGGGGGCTGAAGACGACGATCGGTTGGAGTTCTTTGGATAATTATTTTGGAAGAGGGAGGAAGAGGGAGAGATGGGAGGAAGAACAAGAGCAGACGGATGATGTTGATACCCCCTGATTTTTACACGATCTTCTGCAAAAGAAAAGCACATGGAAGAAGCGAGTATAACGAGGATGGCTGACAGAAGACAAGAACTTTATTTGTACATGGTTCAAAATATAACGGTTTCATACGCGAGCAACAGCTGCCTCAAATATGCTGCCTTTACTATAGATAAATATCCCACTTGATGTAGAGCTCCATTTTTGCTTCGATGAATCCAACTGTCTTCGACCCAGAAAGCATCAATCTCCAGGCGTGGGCTGTCACCGGTCCGAGAAACCAACTCTGCCTGATTTGGCTTTGAGTCTTGAATCCTGGCACAGATAAGAGATATCCGTTGATTGCGGAACCCAGCGTGTACGTACCACGCAACAGCGACATATCCTAGCCGGCCACCATAAGAGGATGGAGGATTGTTTGGAGAGAGACAACGACGTCAGCTAGAACAGGACTCCTTTGCCTTCGTCATCCGTTGGAAAGATGCCCGCAACACATCCCCTTCCCCAAAGTGATCCGCCAATTGATTGACAGGAATTGCCAATGCCTCCCCCAGTCCTGTACAGTCCAGATATCTGCCAAGCAAGGCTACCTCTGTCGTGGCAGCACGAGCATTTCCCTATCGTACACTCCTCCATATCCTACACAATTGTACACCCCTCCAGCTTGTCCAAGACGCCCAAAGCATCCCAACCAAATGATTCCAACACGCCAGTCTAGATTCCCAAAAACGCCATGTAAATGCCGCAACGCCATGTCCCAATAATCACTTCTGCCCCTTCTCAAACCCATACTCCTTGGGAAGATCCATCCCCACCCTTCTCGCGGTGAGGCGCACTCTTTCTTCTTCGTCCATGCCCATGCCGGGGTTGTACCGCTCGACCAGGGTGACGTATGTCCTTTGGGCTTTGAGGTAGGAGAGGTACTGCTCGGCGATGTCGGCTTTCTTTTCAGAGGAGGAGGAGGCAAAGTTGTCGCGGAGGTGCTGGTGGAGGTCGGCGCGGGGGGAGGAGAGGACCGGTCGGGGGGGCAGCTCGCGGAGGAGGGAGCGGTAGAGGGTGCGGAGGTGGGACATTTTGAGCGGGCTATCGGGCGGGTT